TCCTTCCTTCCTTCCTTCCTTCCTTCCTTCCATTCTTTCTTGCCTCCTCCATCTGTTCATCAGTCTATCCATTCATTCCTCCATCCATTCATCCATTCCACCATTCTCTCTTCATCAGAAACACAAAGTATGACTGCTACTGATCCAACCCGGATTTGCAAGGAGTGTGTGATTTGTGAGTCTTTCCAGCCCATTAACCTGCTCTCTCTCCTTCCTGTGCTCCATAGCCGCCCTTCTCATGAGCAGCCCTGGGATGAGGTGCCAGATGCGCTGTGCAATCCAAGGCTTGCCACAGCGGGGACAAGGACCAGTTGTTGAAACACCCTCCGCCTCTGTGATGTAACCCAAGGCTGTCATGGAGGCTTCCTCCAGCTCTTGGCAAACTTGTGACATGACTGGCTGAGGCACTCCAAGGAAACCCGCTGAGGGGGACACATGACTCACAAAGGGCTGAGATTTCCAAAACACTTCTAGTGACATGACCATGAAGCATGCAACCGGCAGGACGGCATCTGGAGAGAGAAAGGTCAACCTCCCAAGTTAAATGTGTTGTTGTGTCATCTGTTGTGTGGGAGATGGGTGAAGACCGTGCTAAAGGAGGTTTGTTCTGAACCCCTGCAGTAGCCACAGACATCGGGGTAACAGTAATTGCAGGTTTGGTAACAGTGGGCACACCACAGGCACTGAAAAAAGTTTCTCCTTCACGAAGAGATATGGTGATGGATGGCTTAAGCTACAGTGGCTGCTCCCATTTTGATCTCCTTGCAGTTTTGTGACTGGCTGCTGCTTTTGGAAAGATTTTTCTTCTAATGCCCTCTTTAAGAAAGTGGGATATCTTGTGTCCAGGGCAAATACTAACACCAGCCACATTTGCACAAAAGCAGTGCATGTCGGAGTTTACAGTGACTTCAAAAAAATCACTGTCCTTCCATAAGACCACCAAGGGAGGAGCTGTTGCCATTGCTCTCTACGCCAGACAGCCCCAGGTTTGAAAGCCAACCTCAGTTGTCCTTTGCCTGAATTCCAAGGGGCAGGAAGGGATTTTGGATAAACTATACAGACCTGGGGCAAGAAGCCCACAGCAGAGTTACTGCCAGAGCAGGCCTAGGACAGGGCAAGTTCTAAAATGTTAGGAAGATGTCAAAAGGAGCACCACTGAAGCTGATGGGACCTGTGGCTGCTCAGTCCTCCAGAGAGCTGCCAGCAAAAATTGTCCCAGGCAGAAGAACTCAGCAGCAGTACACTGGTGGCTGCGGTATCAGCTGGGCCTCTCCACTATGGGTGTCTCATCCCTATGCCCACCTGCTTGAGACACCTACTATGCCATGATGCAGTTTGACACAGGCATGGGAGAGCTGCCCCAGTGGGAGCCCGTGCCACCCATGCAGGAAGGCTCAGGCAGAACGGCCTTGGAGGCTCACCACAGGCGGGAACAGAGCTGTGGCCAAAGTGACTCTGCCAGTGGGCGGTGCAGGCGAGGAAGAGCTGTACCACAGGGATGGAGGTGGTGCCAGCAGAAACCATGGAAAGAATGAGGGAGGTTCACTTTCCGAGACAAATTATTTGGGGTGTGTCACCAGGACCCAGCTGCATGGTTGCTGGACAGGCAATCTATGTCCAGCCAGCCCAAGCTGTTGAGGTGTCAGGCTGGTATGTGGCCCCAAGCTTTTCAGTTGCTCAATCATGTGCGGGAGTGAGAAAAAACACAGGACCTGGAAGGGCTGTTATGGGTTGGGAGTAAGATGAGCAACAGGATAGGTGGAGAAAGCCTAAGACAAATCAAGACACTCAGCTAAAAGTTAGGACAGATAGAAAAAATCAAACAAATCCTGCACAGGCCTGCAAATGGATTAGACCTGCCTGACCCAGATAGCTAAATGCACGATGAACCCCAGGCTATTGCTTGTTACTGCCATGTAAAACGTCTGCAAGTGCAGCAAGGGGCATGTGGAACAGAGTGCTGCAGCAGAAAGATGCATCTTTGGCTACTGTGGCTGGCAGCAAGCAGGGCAGGGGAAGGGTCTGAAGCCTTTCGGCTACTGAGATCTTAGTAATGGGACCTCAAATTCACAGGGTCATTATGTACAGAAGGTGGAGTTGGAGGATGACATCCCCCTTAGTGATGCCCCTGGCAAGAGGAGCACAGGAGATGAAGCACTAGCATGTGGGAGCTGGAGAAAAAGCATGTCTGGGCTGTGCAGGGCTCTGAGCTGAGTGTCTCTGGGGAGTCCAGGAAAAGTTTCTGAAGAATGAACAGTGACCGGCAGAGCAGTTCAGGGACAGGCAGGAAAGCCTGAGGGGGAAACAAAGGTGTGTCATCACGTATGCATCCTAATTGGGTCACAGCAAAAATGGAAGCAGGCTCCAAGAATTGATTTTTGCCCCATCTCCCCACTGCACTAACAAGGAGGCTGTGGCTGGGGTTACCATTAGCTGTCACCAGTTACCTGGCAGAACAGGTTCCTGAGTGACAACTGGATTACAGAAGGAGAGAGGAAGTGAAAAGCTTAAGAGCTGCTAATAAGGGCCCTGTGACACAAAGTTAAGCCAGTTAACTGGGAATGACCAGTGATCCCCTTCTAACTCGATGCTGAAAGGAGACACAAAGGACCAGGCAGATCAGGTAAAAATATGTACCAACCAGACCCATCTTCATCATGCACTGATCCACACCGAAGACTGAAGGACTTATCTGTAGCACTGCCAAAGCTGAGTGCTTAAGTTATCTCAGAAGGTGGCAGAAGGTAGCCACAGGCTACCTGCACAGATGCAGCACGTCAAGCAGAGACCCTACAGGATAACCTGGTGTTTGAAAAAGATGGGCAAGATATCCCATGGTCAGATCAACACAGGCTGTTCTGGGATGGACCTCAGGTCAAACAGTGCGAACCAGCTTGCCTGCAGCCAGGACACATGAAGGGGTCTCTTCTACCCCTGTTGCCATACTTAGAAGCATTTTACTGAGCAAAGCATCACTCACTTTGGCTGAGCAGGTCTGGATCTTGACTGCCCGTGGCAGGCAGAAAAAAAGCTGCGGCTCCAGCGTTCAGAACCAGTTGGTTTATCTGCCAGAGAAAGACTATGAGAGCAATGTGTGCTGGAAGGTCTGCAGTGAAGGCAGCAGGTGACCACCATGGAAAGAAACTCAATCCCAGGGTGCAGCCTTGCAACTGGAGCTCACATGCAGCAGCCTGGCACATTTGGGCTCTCCTGCTGTGCACTGCTGGAGCCATCTATAACCTGTACCGTCCCTCTGCTCAGATCGCACCTTTGTTTTGCTAAGTAGACGTCCCCCCTCCTCCTCCTCCTTCTCATGCACTCCCCACCAGGGAGAGAAGCGCAATGAAACCTAGCAGATTCTGGGCAGAGCTGTTTCATCACACGCCAGGTCTGCCTGACCACACCTTTGCTGTGGTCGGTGCTTGTCAGAAGAAAGATAGCAGGGAAAGTAAGTCCAAGTCAGGGAGCAAGGATCAAGCTGGGAAAGAAGGAGAGCTACCATTTCACATGACTCACATTTTCCAAGGAAAGAGAAGGGTTATAGGCCACACAGCCATGGCAGAGCACTCGGGCGAGCCTTTCCCACCCTGCCTCCCAGCCCCAAGTGCAGGGACCCACCTTGATTCCCATTCACTATGTTCTCCAGGGTTGACTTTATGCTGCAGATGATGTAAGGCAGTTTCATGCTCTGCTACCTACAAGCTCAGCTGAAAATTGTTACTGGGCAACACACAGCAGAAAACCAAGGAAAGACACTTCTGAGAATAAGATCCCCTCTTTTGTTTGCTTGATCTCAAGAACATCTAATAGAGACAGAGTCAGTTTATTCCTCTGTGAGAGTCTCTGCCTGACTGAAACAGCGCTCTCCCTGTGTGATGTCTGAAGTCCCATCACTCTTCCTTACAAAGATCCTGTTGGACGGCTCAAGGGATGGGCACACAGGTCTCACACCCATAACCGCCAAGCAACACAGGTCGATGCAGCTCACATGAACTTCTGACAAAGACTGGCAATGGCATGAAGGTTGCGCTGCTCTCACCAATTCTGAAAGTGTGAGAAGTGATGGGATTCACAGGGATGACTCAGATGCTGGAGGAATCCTTCCTGTTCACAGGGAGCCACACTCAGGGTGCAGCTAAACCCATCAGGCTATTCTATCATTATTTTAGGCCAACACGATGCCTTCATTAAGCCCAAACTCAAAACCTTTCCTCTCCCTGTTCCCAGCTGATGCTGTGGCAGAGCCGCTGTGGGGAGGACCTGAGCACTGGTACTGGTGGTGCGGGAGCTTTCTTCCTGTAGCTGCACTCATACCCTGAGCTGCCACCACCTTCAGCTGCAGAGACCAGTCCTCTTGTGCTGACACCTCCCTGATGTCACCCAAAATACACCCAGTGCCACTTTCCTGAAGGTCTGGAAGAGCCAAGATCTATGCTGCTGTCACATGATGCACGCTGGATAAGCTGTGCTCTTCCTTCCTTGAAGCCTTCCTCCAGTTACGACAGCTAACAGCTACGCTCGCTGGAACCGAGGTGCACTGAGATGTATTACTAGTGATACTATGGTTTCTCTCCCCAAAGACAACTGCTGGGGCTTCAAACATCCTGCTCAGCCAAGCCACGCCAAGTTTCACTTCAATCAAAGCCCACAGGCATTGTGACTTTGTCTAGAATTTTTATTTCACAGAGTAGAACTGTTTTGAGCATATTCACAAGAATAAATATAAAATTACTCTTCAGAGTAAGAAGATGAGCTTTTATAAAAATATATCTCTATCCCACAGAACCACTTAGGCAGGGTTCTCATTACGAAACATTATTTAATAAAAAAATAAAACACTGAAAATAAAATACTTGACCTATACTGATTGGATCATGAAACAATTGAAATTTTTAAAAGTATATAAATATTGTAAATATTCTTAATAAAAATAACATTTAAATAGATGTGAAGTGAGTCCATCCAGATGAACGGAACACTGTAGGGAGTCACTGTTTCTTCTACAGGGCACCAACCTCCTTGTATTCACTGGCATTCGTTTGTCTCCTCTTGTTTCGGCACCTAGAAGCAGAGAAGTGTGAGTTCTGGAAGGCCAGCTGGCTTTTGGGAAGGGTAGGGGGGGGTGAAAGAATTAAAAAAACCAAGCTGTATGACATCCTCACATTTGATTTAAACCTCTAGCAGCTAGGCTCTGTCTGTACTCACTTCCAGGTCTGAGATAACTTGCACGCAGTCTCATTTCCCAACACTTTACTGAAGATTTCCCATTTGCATTAAAGTCTTGCTGTTGGCACTAGGCTTGTCTTGAGAAATCCTGCTGGATCCTTCCCTGCAATAGGGCTGAGCACCCTAACCAACTAGGTCACCTTCTGTTTGAGAGGACGTGCCATCGAGTCTCCACACAGGGAAGAGGAATTGCAGCGGTGACCGTTTAGCTATCAGCTCTGTGAAGCTGAGCTCTCCTTCTGGGGGCTGTTCCACTTTCGTGGCTCTCTGACAGCTCCTTATCATCAGTTCTTAGCCTGAAGAATGAGTCCTGCTGCTTGTGTGGGTCTGGTAATGGAGGAGACTGCTGTCCTCTGTGGTAAAGCTGGTAAGGCGATGCTTGTGGTATCACAGTCACCACAACAACATGGCAGATAAGCAAATTAGCTAGTATTAATCCAGTTGCTCTCCAGTTCCTGATGACTGGGGAAATGACGTTACCAAGAAAGGGAACTAGAATTTCCCTATTCCCTGTCTGTTCTCTCCTTCACCTCAACACACTCCCTATCCACAGCTGACTCACGTTCCTGTGCTGTGAAGAAAAATCCTTTTTACCTTCTGCAGATGTAGTAGCTTGCAATAGAGACAGCAGCGACGAAAAGCAGCACGACAATCACCGTTAGCACCACGTACTCCTTACTGAGGGGCTGTCTGACAAGTTCCGAGTGCACGCAGCGGACACCAGAGAAGCCTACGTCACACCTGAGGAGCAGACACGCAGAACTGGAGACATCGCTGTGGGGTTATGCTTTAGCAGTCCACAAAGCATGTCACACTGCTGGCCTGCTGCTCCCTCAAGGACAAGCAATTTGAAATGATGTAACTTCAGCCCATGTGGTCCTAGACATGGCTGCAAATTCTTCAGGTAAATGAGGAATACCCTTAAATATGCTTAGAGGGTAGGCTCTTTGTAGGCCGAATCAAAGGAAAGACCTTGCTGCTTTGCCTGAGGTCTGGATCTCACAGTGCTCTAAATACATGATGAACATGGGAAGTCCCAAGGTTAAGTGGGGTTGGTGACTAATTCCAGGTGTCTAAGACTCTCATCTGGGTTTCACTGGAGCCAGCACATAGTGCTTAGCTCTTGCTCAAATGCAGCTGACGTGTATTATAGATATACTGTTCCTCTTCAAGTTCTTGTGAACATCTAAATGCTTTGCTGGGTCCTTGTTCCAGATCACTGTAAGCAGCAGCGGGACCCAAGGCCGCACACGGCTCATCTCAGAGCCCACCTCAGGAGGGTCTGCAGGGCATCGCGCCCTGTCCGTACCTGCAGTAGTGCTCATCCAGGTCCACTATGTACACGCATTGCCCGTGGAAGCAGTAGTCCTTCATTTCAGGTTTGCACCTTGTTATCCCAACCTGAGCCACACGTGGACTGTTCTCTGTCTGGACTGCAAGGAGACTGTGTTAGCACCTCATCAGTCTTATTTTCCCTCTGTATTTCCCAAACAATGTACAAGTTTTACAAGTACAACGAACAGTCTCGCACCCAAGAGACCTCCAATACAGTAGCCACTAAAGCAGGTTAGCCTTCTGAGCAGGGAGAGCATTTTCCTGGGCCATAGTTATACTGACTTTTCCTTCAGGAGTTCCACAGAAGCTATTGCTGCTTTTATAGCAGAGTTTTCCCCTCAGACAGAGCTCTTCTGCTGTGGAAGCAACATTAAAGGAAACGCAGGGTAAGAAATGGTTCTTGTTCGACAACGCTGTGCACTTTGCGGGATGGTGGCGACACTGCTCAATGGGAAGATGATTTCCCAGGACCTCTGTGAGCCCGCTGGCACAAGGAAGCTGGGAACCAAAGCCTTGTTATTTAGGAGGAGAGCTGTGCTGTACACTTACTGAGCGCTGTCGTGCAGTTCTCCATCTCACCAGGCCCACACAAGGGGATCACTGTTGTGCACAGCACTGTCTGCAATAGGTAACCTAGAAGAGAAGAAAAAGCAGAGTGAGGACTAGATGCTTTTCAAGTGTACTTAATTATTCCAGCTGCTATACTCAGGAAGTTAATACAAGAAGAACATAATCTTTTTATTTCAGTAGGAAAAATACCTAGTGTTGTAAGCTGACAAAACATAGGTCTGAGAGATCTGCTGCCTCTATTATACAAGGCTGCCCAAAGAACATCTCTGAAATACAAACTTTCTATGTAGAACAGAGACCAAACCAAAACTCAGTGCCTGTAACCCTTTCACCCACAGTCTGAGTGAAAATGGGCAGGAACAGGCTTGGAGAGGTGATACAGGGGAGACAGAAATTAGGCCATGTGAGGTTTTGACTTGTCTGGCACGGCACTTGTGCAAGGCCCACCTCGCAGGGTTCCACGGCTAGGCACGACAACCCAGCACTCATTGCAGGAGTTCTGCTGAGCGACAGCCGGATGTCCTTGGGTCACAACAGTCCACGGGGAGAGAATTTCCTTGGACTCAGCAAGTCAGCGCAGAGGGTGACTCAGCACACCAGGTCAGTGCCGAGCCAGGCTCAGCACCCCAGCACTGCCTTCAGAGACCACGTACTGCTCGAGGTAGGCTTTACACAAAAGTTGTTCTTGATCAGCAAAGAGCTTCCTCAGCCCTCCTCCTGCAAGCAGCCTGAAAGGCTGGACAGTTCCTGCACTAGTGTTGGCCCTTCTCAGTTAAAGCCCACTTCCTAACATGAGATACCAAACCCTCTTCATCTGGTCACTGGGTTGGAGAGGCTACTGACCACTTTATGGATCCTGGGCCAGTGTTACTTATTCTCAGCAGAACCCCAGAAGAAAAAAAGTACATTTCTGTCCTTCCTTCACCATCCATGCAGAAGAAAACTGCAGCTCGGGAGGTTTGACAGAGGTACCAAATATAACAGGAGACTGCAACAGGCAGGCTGAGGAGTCAGGCTACCAGTGTAGTGGCTGCATTTCCTCACGGAGCAAGGGCCCTTCTCCTCTCAAAATCCAGCTTATAAAGCATTTTGGCATCTTTAAGGCTGTATAGTGCTGCATGGACACGGCTTTCAGGTGTTCTACTACTTAAATTAACATTTCCAATCCGGATTTGAAGGTGAACACAAGTACTTGTACCTTCCCAGCTAGTCCGTGAGGAACAGTCAACATTTGCCCCAGCTGGCCATGAAATCCATCTGGTGAACATTCCTAAAAAAAACTAGCCTGCTCATGAACTGCTTAGTCATCAGCCCCATTCCAGAGAAGTCTGTAATGTGTGTCTTTGGGCTGTTTGCCTCTATTAACTTGTCAGGTCACACGTGTCTAATGCAGGGAGTGTGCCTTCATAATTTCTTGATCACTCTAATTCAACTCCAGTTATTAGAAAGTTTCATTACATGTACAGAGTAAAAATCTTGTAGTGATTTATGGACTTCCTGCAGCTCATCTACTTCTGGGTGGTTAGCAGGCTTCCTTTAAGCTTTATTCCAGCTAGATAGAAGAACAGCAGTGATATTAGAGTAATGGGGGGGTTGTGAGTGTGTTTGTGTTTCTTTAAAAGCACCATTCCTCCTTCCTACCACACTCCCCACCACACTCCTCGCAAAGCTAATAAGCTAGGTTTCCAAAGAGCTTTAGAAGAAAAGAGAAAGACCAGTTCCACCAAAGTGAGAGTCACAGTAACAGACCCAACTTGACTTGTATAGGAGACCAAGCTGGAGACATCTGTGTCTGCCAGCATGACTCAACAGGACCTACCTGTGTTTCGCTCCAATGGGGCAGGACTAGCAAGTTTACTTTCAGGGTGGGATTATATATATATATATATTTTTTTTTTTTTTAAACAGCACTGTGCTCACTACAGATTTCACTGGGGGAAGTGGTTTAACGCACCTGTAAGGCCAATCTGAGTTGCCACAAAAGAAAGTTATGTTTTTGAGGGGCAGGCCTTGTGCTTTGGCTAGGGAACCAGTGTCCCAAGCGATGCTGGAAAAAGAAGATATACCGAATCAGTCCTTCGTCCCAGGAATAAGAGGGACTTTTCAAGAGCTAGTCCAATGGATGAAGTCAGTTGATTAACTCTTTTAGCCTCCATATTTCTTTTGCAACTTCTATACTTCCAGCTCAAGAGTTACCAGAACATGGCTTTTATATCTGAGAAACCCAGATTTAGGTATGTGAAAGAGATGGGCAGACTCCTCTCTTTGCTGCAGGAGGCAGCACCTTCCAGCTGGAGGAAAGGCCACAATTCAAGACACCTAGGAGAGACAAATTAGAAATAGCCTCCTCCTACGACACCAAACAAAGGCTTGTCCCATTCCAGCCAGGCTGGAATAGCCTCCTCCACCTGACTGTAGCTGCCCAGGCTGGAAAGGTTGTGGGTATTTGCTGACACCCAGCAGGATTTTCTGCATCCAGACAAAGTTCTTCCTGTTCTGCACTGTTATATTTTGCCCTTTCCTCCATGCACATACTCCTTTGACATGAACGGGAAGGGGATCCTGCAGGAGGATAAGGGTTCCACATGCTGCAATGGCAAAGGAGAGCCTTTCCCAGAGTAATTATCAGACGCAGTACACCAAACATAGGACCTGGGAGAGGTGGTTATATTTTTACTCATTCGCTGCTCACTAAGCAAATACTCTACAGGGTACAAGATAAGAGCAATGAGATGGTGGATATTCAGGTGTGCCTGGCAGGAAGGCAACTGCTACACTTACTGCTACAGCACCGCCCCTGCAAGGTTAACACTGACAGCATGGGCTTTTAATGGAAGAGGAACAATGCTGCTGTTGACTCGTCCTTCCATGAAGGATGAAAGGAAAATGAGGGACAGAGTCTGGCTGCCACGAGAGATGGCATGCAGGGACTAATGATTTCTTTGTCCACTGGAAGGCAGCTCAAATTTCCGGTTACACGATGGCTGTTGAGAACGAAGGATGCACAAACAGCACACGCATCACTGAGAATAAGTCTCTTTGCAAGATTTATGCCCATTTTGCAGGGGAGTTGTCTGAGATGTCAATCATCATTTGAGTTAGCTTTGCCTGTCACTGAGATCACTAGTCTTTACTAGTTCATCTGAAGAAGACTCCATGATGCCACTTTATGCTTGGCATCTCTGTGGTCTCTCTGCCACAGCAGTAGCACCTATGCTCTTCACGTGGGATGTGCTTCCAACACAATGCCAAGCGCAGAAGTGTCGAGCTGACATGCACCTGGAAGATCTCAGCCCATTTTTAACTCTAGAGACAGATCAAGGTGGATCCCTGTGGGGAATGGTCCATTTTCTCTTTCCCCCACATAAGTCTAAAGAAAATGCCTTTCAAGCCAGCAGAGCAAGCAAAGTGCCTTTTTGCTGATTTAGCCAAAGACGAACTGAGACAGACTCAGATAAGAGCATAACAAGAACTGGCAGAAAAACAGATAAAAGGCTAAAGGACTGCCTCTGATAGAGTATGCATCTGGCCAATGCCAATTGGCTAAGTCGAACAGTGACTGCTATCTAAAGAAAGCAAGCTAGCTTAGCAGGCCAGAGAGCTTCTGTGTCGGCCAGACCACTGTGATACCTGGAGCTGCCTGAGCTTGCCAACACCGCTGCCCGACGCCTGAGAGGAGAGAGGAGAAGGGAAGGGCC